TGGCACTGGGTGAGAAGGCTCCTGGACAAGGAGGTGCGGCTGGAGATTGTGAAGACCCATCAGCAGGCGGCTGACATTCTCACCAAGCGCCTGGCTGAATCTGAGCATTGGAAGGGCATGAAGCTTGCTGGGATGAGTGTGCATTGAGGATGCATGCTTGAGCTATGGCATGTGGGATGATGGTTGGCAGCCAGAGGGGGAGTTTGTTGAGTGATGCTACCATTCGCATTCACGTCTGTCTGCCTCCCATCATATGTTCGTGCGTTGCATGCGTGTTGTGAGTGTGTGCAAGAATTTGTGTTTTGTGCGGTTTGGTTTTTCTGAGTGTGTGTGTGAATGTTATTTGGCTTGAGCAGATATCTGAAGTGACTCCTCTGCTCAAGAGCTTTCCGACGAACCAAGTATCGCTTCAATCGGAGCACGAACAAGAAAGTTACGAACGTTGGAGTTCGTATGCTTTTCATATTTGATTGTGGCAACTGTGGGAAGTTGTGGGGTTGACTCAATATGGGGTACAGACTTTTGGGGGTTGGGAAATTCGTCTTTTCTACTGTAGTTGCTGCCAAATGGTTGGGAGAAACCAAACCAGGTTGGCAAGTGTGGCCAAGTTGGGTTGAGGTGGATTGTGGAGGTTGGGATAGTGACAAAGGTCAAAGTTGGGTTGCCTATGGGGAAGGGAATTGTGTGGCATGGAGTTTCCTTTGGTTGGGGACTCCTTGGGACCTTCCCTCTCGTCCTCCTCATCCCTTCCACCTGGTTTAGTGCTACTCCAATTCTCTTGTGTGAACTTGTGAGATCATTGTGATTGAGTTACGTTTTCTATGGCAGCATACCCCCTAGTGCGCCGAAGTTCATAACTCGAGTTATACTCCATATTTTGATACTATTCAAATTGGGAAAGATAGCCACGGTCAAGGGCTACAACATACTCGAGTTTGAAAGAATTCTAACTGTGGACCTTTCGTCGACGACGTTTCTTGTGACGACGACTTTTCTGTCCAGAATTGTAGTTGACGATTTTGAGATATTTCAGCCCCTAATCTTCATAGACTCCGTCCTTAATCTCTAACACCACTCTCTGCCATCCCTGTTACCTGCAATGCAACATGTCTGTGGCCAGGGGGACATGGGAGGTGGGAGAGGCGAGGAGCAGGAACGGAGGGACGAGAGAACCCAACAGGAAGAGGGAAGGGGACGAGGCAAAGGCATTGCACCGTGCACCTTGAAAAGAACGAGACTCCAATGCACGCACGTGCACCTTGCATGCGACACTGGCGTGCACCTCGCAACAGCAGGTGTCTCGCATGCCGCTCACCTTTGGTGGGCACGGGGTTGCTGCAGAGCTGAGTGACCATGTAGATGGCAGCAGCAGCCTTGGAAATGGGCGCTCTGCTCGTGCGCACACACCACCAGCACCAGACACAACCATGGCACAATAATCCATACACTACCTTTGGTGGGCACGGGGTTGCTGCAGAACTGAGTGACCATGTAGATGGCGGCAGCGGCCTTGGAGATGGGCGCTCGGCTGGTGCGGATGTCAATCTGCTCTGTGTTCTGCACCACCTCTATTGCTGCCTGCACTGGCGCCCCCTTCATGCCCAGATGCGAGCAGAAGCGCCGCTGCAGGGGGAACGGGGGGGTGGGGTGGAGAAAGGGGGCGTGGGGGGTGAGAGGAGTGAGGGTGAGTGGTGGTGACACTGAGGGACAAGGGCATGTCGATCTGCTCTGTGCTCTTCTGCACCACCCCTATTGCCGCCTGCACTGGCGCTCCCTTCATGCCCAGATGCGAACAGAAGCGCCGCTGCAGGGGGGGGACAGGGGGAGGAAAAGGAGGGAAGAGAGGAGAAGCAGGGGGGAGGAGAAGCGGGTGAGGGAAGTGAGGGGTGAGTGGTGGTGACGCAGGGGGGGTAGAGGAGAAAGAGTTTTTGACGTATGTGAGGTCCCTCCCAGGGGGCCCCCACTCACTCATCATGGGGAAGAGCCGACTCACCATGAAATCGCCTGCATTGACCGCTCCCATGTCCACCGCCCCCATATCCGCTTCTAGCTGCTTCACTATAAACTTGGTCGCTCGGCCTATCTCCTTCTTTGATATGTTGTTGCCTGCTGACCCTATCTCTGCACGTGTGGTGGAGGGAGAGTGACACGTGGCAGTGAGGAGGGGCATATGAGGGTGGGAGGGCACGTGAGGGTGGGAGGGCACGTGAGGGTGGGAGGGCACGTGAGGGTGGGAGGGCACGTGAGGGCATGCGAGGGCTGACAGCACCAGCAACTTTGGTTTCCAGATCTGCACTCCTCGCACCCAACCCCCCCCCACTCACCTTTGAAGGTACGTGGCTTGTCCTCCTGCCGGCATGCAATGTAAAGGCAAGCAGCATACGTGGCCTCGTTGCTGCGCCCGCGAATGCTCTTCAAGTCGTGCACCTTCTTGAATATCTCGTTCGCACGGTCCTGGTAAGGGCAAGCACAATGCGAGGGTATGGGGAAAGAGGGGGAAAGGTGTAGTAGGGATGTGAGGGGGATACTCTTCAAGTCCAAGTCGTGCACCGTCTTGAGTATCTCGTTCGCACGGTCCTGGGAGGGGCGAACACAGATTACAAAATATGGGGGTGAGAGGGGGAGGCACATGGTCCTAGGACGTTCAGATGATGAAGAAGAGAGCAAGGGGGAGGAGGTGCGAGGAGATACAAGGGGGGAAAAAGAGGGACGAGGAGGGATAAGGAGGGGCGAGGAGGGACAAGGAGGACGAGGAGAGACAAAGAGGGCCGAGGAGGAAGAGGCCTACCCGGATAGTGGCTACGAGGCCCAGTCTGCAATGTCAGAAGCCGGCCCACGTCGCATTCCACACACGTGTGCATGGCACGGCGGTGGCGACGCGGCGAGGTGAGCACAGGCGAAGTTGGGTGGGCCGAGGTGGTTACCAGGTTACATGATGGAGGGAGCGAACAAGGTAGGGGGGGTAAACGGGGGCGCAGGGAATGGGCGGGGAGGGAGAAACAATTGAATGGCTCGTGCTGGTGCCATGCTGGTTGATGGCTGTGGGTTCAGACATGCGATGTTTGCCAATCACCATACCGGCATTGAATCTGACGTGTTACAGGCCACCAGCACATCCGATCGCTGGTGTCGCTCACTGACGGCTGGTCGTGAGTCTCTGATAGCTCACCGTTCTCTGCTATCCTACGGAGCCACTTCTCTTAACCCACACGCCAAACCCATCTGCCCACCTTCTTGTCACCTTTTCCAGCCTCCCTCGCCACCCTCGCATGTCCACCACCCAACGCCCCTCACCTGCCTAAACTGCGGTAATCAGGTCACCCTCAAGATTCGAACCCGTGACCTCGGCCATCCTTCCCACTTTCCCTCAAGTCCCTCTCTCTCCCTAGCGGCGTCTCACCTGTCCGCCATGTCGCCTATCGACTGAAACGCGTTTATCAAGTCCCGGTCCGGGTTCGAGCCCTGGCTGGCCCACCCTTTCCGCCCGGGGAGATCCCCCCCGCCCTGCCCGTTCTTCCCGGCGCTGATCATCGTCGTCAGCCCGCCATCTGTCAGCAGCTGATTTGTCGGCCCGCCGACACGCACGGGGTCGGTATTAGCGGCTTCGTTAGAAAAAGTACGCCATTCGGAAGTTTCGTCGACGCTGTGCGCCTCGACGACGAGGCCGCACTCGGCGCAGATGAGGTCGCCCGCAGCGTGGTCGTGTACGAGCTCCGTGTTGCGCTTGCACTCGCCGCACATCTGACGACTCATCCTCGCGCGAGCTGCTCCGCACGCTTCTGGACTGGTTCAAACTGGTTGAAACTGTTCGAAAGCGGTTTAAAACTGTTCGGGACAGAATCGAGTCAACGTGGAGAATATCTGAAGGGCCACGCTTTCTAACGGTGAAGTCCTAGAATGCTCTGCGGATATGAGAATTTGCGGATACGGGTATATTTGTGAGATGCGAATTCACCAAGCGTGATGCCAGGCGGATTCAGGCGGTGATGCCAAGGTTCCGTTAGGATTCAGAATGAATCAGCTAAGGATCGCCGGTGCTGCCGAGACAAACGAGCAGCGAGACGGCGCAGGCAACGGCAGGTCTCTGATCTGCGGGAACTATGAGGTAAGGACGGCTGTTCAGCTAGCGTTGACAGACAACCTGGTTTCCGACAACAGCCAAAGAAACAGCTCTGTTGCACATTTGTATGATCGACTGAGACGACGCGCAGGTGCGGCCAGCACACAGGACAGGCACAGCCTCAGCCAGCGTGGAACAAGGCTCGAGTTATCGCCATTGGTCCATTCACAGGTACGGATGGCTCGGCAATCCCCAAGTGTCAGGAAGGCCAAATTTGAAAGGATAAACCTTTCGTGTAAACGTTTTGTATGCTAGTGTAATGTGAAATGGCCCACACTGAAACGAGTCCACACGATAGCGCGGTTGCCACTAGGGACTATGGAGGTTCCCAAGTCCACATCAGCCTTTGCTGACGTGACATCACTTTTCAGCACCTGCCTGAACGAGTCCAGGATCACGTCAGCATGGGTCTTCTGGAAAGACTGCTGGGACCACACACACACATCAGTCAGGCGACTTGCCAGCTCAACTGGTCTCCTTTTCCTGGGGCAATGATCCATGTGGAAGCAGAAATCGAAACCGAAACTGAAACCCAGTGCACGCATGATGCATTTGCATGAACCAACCAGCCTGTCTCTCGAATTTTGATTTCGAATTTGTCTTGGGGGGGGGACTGACTGAGGCGGAGGCTGGTAGCCTCAAGCCATTCAAAAGCACAGAAGCCTTGGGAATTCCTATTTCTGGCATTCATTTTCCAGACGCATAGCAGCCTTAGCACGCTTGGCAACAGCAGTAGGCTTTCATATCTTCCCCTGTCGCTGTGTTTCTACTTCTCCCGCACAGTCCAGTATCAGAGGACCACGCGAGGCTAGAACAAAGGCCGTTACTAGCCCTACGCCAGTCGTCTTCGTCAGTCGTCTCGTCAGCCGCGCATCGCACCATGAGTCCGTTGAACCGAATCAACCGCATCGCCTCGCACATCTGCCCGCCCGCGTCGACCAGCGTGAGTAGCCACTGCCTCGTCTCACGCATCGTGCGCTCTTTTGGCGTGCATCGGAATTACCCGCGTCGCCCTGCTGCTCGCATCATCCGTTTTCGTAATGGTGTTCTATTGGTTTATTTTTATAATAATTACACTTGATCAATTATCCAATACCGAGTATTACGGTATGAAGAGCGATGTCTGACATTATAAAAAATTCCTTTGTTGGCCTTGCGCGCAGGATGGTGGGCTCAGCATGAACGTCACGCGCGCCAAGGGCAGCACCGGCGGATTCAAGGTCGCCGTGTTGGGCGCAGCGGGTGGCATCGGGCAGCCGCTGTCGCTGCTGCTTAAAATGAATCCGCTTGTATCGGTGCTGCACCTGTACGATGTGTTCAACACGCCCGGCGTCACGGCCGACCTCAGCCACACCAGCACCTCCGCCGTCGTGCGCGGGTTCCTGGGCAATGACCAGCTGGGCGCGGCGCTAGACGGAATGGACTTGGTGATCATCCCCGCGGGCGTGCCGCGCAAGCCGGGCATGACGCGCGACGACCTGTTCAAGATCAACGCCGGCATCGTCAAGACGCTCTGCGAGGGAATCGCGAAGCACTGCCCGCGCGCCGTCGTGAACATTATCAGCAACCCGGTGAACTCGACGGTCGCGATCGCCGCGGAGGTGTTCCGGCGCGCGGGGACGTACGATCCGCGCAAGCTGATGGGCGTCACGACGCTCGACGTGGTCCGCGCCAACACCTTCGTGGTACGTTCCCTGAATGTGATGGAGCTTGCGGGATGGTTGTATGGAGTAGCAGCGAATCGCATGCATTTATGAGGCGCCTTAAGAACCTCCCTTGTGAAAACTCCCGTGTATCCTGTGCAAATTTTCTGCGCCTGTGGCACGGCAGGCGGAGGTGCTGGGGCTGAATCCCGAGGAAGTGAACGTGCCAGTGGTGGGCGGCCATGCAGGCATCACCATCCTGCCGCTGCTCTCGCAGGTATGACTGCTCGCATATTTACACTCACTCCCGTAGCCGTAGCTGCTTCCTCAGGCGCCCCCTGCTCCCATTTTCACAATGGCTCCCATAGCTGTAGCTGCTCAATGGAGAGGTCAATGCTGACTGTGTGTCGCCTACTGTGTGTGTGGCGTGTGCTGTGTGCTGTCTGTGTGTGCGGTGTGTTCTGTGTGTGGGGTGTACGCGGTGTGTGCTGTGTGTGCGGTGTGTGCAGGTGACACCTGCGGTGAGCTTCAGCCAGGAGGAGCTAGACCAACTGACCAACAGAATCCAAAACGGAGGCACGGAGGTCGTCGAGGTGAGTGTGGGGGCACAAGCAGTTTTGTAGCCAGGTGAACCGTGTCTACACTGTGCTTCCCATGTGGATGCCATCACTTGCAAAACGGTTTGCACAAACAGAATTTGCCAACCTAACCACGATTTATCACCATGTTTGTTACCAGCACATGCAAAAACAAATCTGTTTTTTTTGCACAGCACAATTTTGCATGATTGTGCAATGCGCATTTATCGCAGTGCCCTGCGTATGCTGATCCTGTCTCCCTGCCCCCTGTTCCCCTCCCTCCGTGCATTGCTGCAGGCCAAAGCCGGCGCTGGTTCTGCCACCCTGTCCATGGTGAGACCCTTCCCATCGTGTTTTGTCGTCTACCAAGAAATAGTAGTTGAATTCTGAGGATAAAAACAAAATACCAACAAGCCACGCCCATGATAACCTGCATCATGTTGTGCTAACTTAAAGCCAACTCTGCTGCAAGCAGCAGATAGACCCCAACTCAGTCATTGCATGCCACCGCCACCACGTGAGCTGATATGACCCTCTCAACACAACCAACCCATATTCTGTTTAACTCGTACTGCTCAACTCAACGCCCACTCACCCACCCCATTCCTCCTTGGTGTCCGGTCCCTCCCGTCCCACCTATCCCTCCCCGTGCACAGGCGTATGCAGCGGCCAAGTTCGCGCAGGCGTGTCTACGGGCCATGCGGGGGGAGGCGGGCATTGTGGAGTGCGCCTTCGTGCAATCCACGGTCAGTCGCCACTGCCACGTGCTCATTCTCATGCACCTGCCTGTGCCCATGCCCGTGCCTGTACCCACACCCACGCCATTTCCCATGCCCATGCCCGTGCCTGTACCCACACCCACGCCATTTCCCATACCCATGCCCGTGCCTGTACCCACACCCACGCCATTTCCCATACCCATGCCCGTGCCTGTACTTGTGCCCGTACCCGTGTCTGTGTGCCCGTGTCTCTGCATCAAGGCAAGCCGGTAGCATGTGAATTGACTCCCACCTCTGTCAACCCCTCACTCCGGCACCACGACCACCACCCCCTGCTATTCATGAGCAGCTGACTAAGCCATTCTTTGCCTCGTGTGCTGTTGTCACAAGGTGCTTCTTGAGTCAAGACTCTAAAGCCCCGCCCCCTCCCACCCCCATCACCACCCTCTGCCGTGCATGAGCAGGTGACGGAGCTGCCATTCTTTGCCTCTCGAGTGGTGCTGGGGCGGCAAGGAGTGGAGGAGGTGCTAGGGCTAGGGCCCATGACTCAGTATGAGCGGTGAGTTCCCCCCTGTGTGAACGTGAATTCGTGGTTTTGAACCTCCCTTGTATCCTAGTAATGGTTACTCACATGCTTGCAGAACTAGGTGTCGAGGCGATCAGAGAATAGACGCCTTCAAAAGAGATGCCTCCAGCCCAGGTTTTACGCGCCGCCATTGTTGTCCGCCATTGTTGTCATTCTGCTGTTCCTCTCTTTCTTTCGCTGTGCTTGCAGGGTGTGGTTGGACAAGTTGAAGCCTGAGCTCAAGGCAAGCATTGACAAGGGCGTTGATTTTGTAGCAAGGGCTTAAAATTATTGAAGTTTGCAATATTTTGGATTGGAATCTATTGTTGGATAATCAAAGCCATGTCAATCTGTGATTCAATCTTTGTTGAAGACAAAATTGCTGAGTTATGGCTCCATAATCTATACTTCACACATTTTTTCTAGTTGCACAATTGTTCCGCTACTGTCAAATGCTTACGTTATCGAGTACGAAAGCCCGTCACAAACCCGAAACCCACTGCAGATGATCCACGAATCATCGAGCATCCACTTGTTTGCACGACGACACCAGCCCTACCTCACGTGCCCGCATTGTCCTTCTGTCATCCTCAATTCGCGCGGCGCGTCCTCCTCCCAACACGCCGTTTCCTCCTCGTCCGCGCTCAATGACCGGCGCCGATCCTTCCACCGCAGCCCCCGCGCCCGCGGAGGCGAGCGCGGCCAGCGCAGGCGGGGAGAATGCGGAGCAACAGAGCGCGGGGGAGGCGGGGGCGGAGCAGGTGGTGACGCCGTGGGAGGTGTCGTCCGGGGGCGGTATCGACTACAACAAGCTTATCGAGCAGTTCGGCTGCCAGCGCCTCGAACCCCCGCTTGTATCGCGTATGGAGAAGCTCACCGGCGTGCGCGCGCACCCGTTCCTCCGCCGCGGCATCTTCTTCGCGCACCGGTGCGCCTACCACAGCGGCTAGCGTCCGGCGCGCTCCTCCCGCCCGCGCCCCCTTCCCCTGGTCTCCCATTCCCCTCCTTCCCGCCCGCCTTTCAACCTCTCCCGCCCCCCTCTGCTTCCCCGTTCCACCCCGCCAATCCTACCCTACCCCCCGGTATCCCCTTCTACCCCTCCCCACCCCTCTATCCCTTCACAGCGACTTCGACAAGATTCTAGACGCCGTGGAGAAGGGAGAGCGGTTCTACCTGTACACGGGGCGAGGCCCCTCGTCCGAGGCGCTGCACCTGGGTCACCTCATCCCCTTCATGTTCACCAAGTGAGCCGCGCGTCGTGGGTCGTGAGTTTGTGCGACATGAGCTGTGAGTCGTGATCGTGCGTCGTGAGTCAGGGACTCGTGGTGGAGTCTCGACGCTGGTAGCTGCTGCGTAGACTGCACCTGGGTCACCTCATTCCCTTCATGTTCACCAAGTGAGCCGCGCGTTGGGTTCATGAGTTGTGCGTCTTGAGTCTTGAGTCTGGACACGCATTAGAATCATGACACCAGTAGCTGCTGAAATCTCAGAGCCCCTCTATTCTTCCACAGATGCTTCTCGGCGTTAGCCAATGCCGAGAAGTATCCGTGGAAGAGCGTGAGTGTGGAGGAGGGGGTGACTGCCACAGCTACTTATCATCTTCCTCACCCTCTCAACGCTCCTCACTTACTCAACACCCCCAGGTGGCTACAAGAAGCATTCAAGGTCCCTCTGGTGATTCATTTAACCGACGACGAGAAGTATCTGTGGAAGAGCATGAGTGTGGAGGGGGGGAAGGGAAGGGTTAATTGCCTCAGTTTCTTTCTTTCGGTCCGTCTCCTTGACACACCTTCAGGTGGCTTCAAGAGGCGTTCAAGGTCCCTCTGGTGATTCAGTTGACTGATGATGAGAAGTATCTGTGGAAGAGCATGAGTGTGGAGGGGGGGTTGATTGACGCAGCCTGTCTTTCTTTCTCACCCCTCCAGGTGGCTTCAAGAGGCCTTTAAAGTCCCTCTGGTCATCCAACTGACCGACGACGAGAAGTATCTGTGGAAGAGCATGAGTGTGGAGGAGGCACGGCGGCTGGCGAGGGAGAACGCCAAGGACATCATTGCGTGCGGGTTTGACGTTTCACGGACCTTCATCTTCTGTGACTTTGACTATGTGGGCGGGTGTGTGATGGCTGGGTTGGGGGTAGAGAAGATGAGCGAGGCAGCGTTGAGTATGTGGAAGGGAGAATGCCAAGGACATCATTGCGTGCGGGTTTGATGTTGCAAGGACCTTTATCTTCTGTGACTTCGACTATGTGGGCGGGTGAGTTTCGTGGGAGGACCGGGTGGGTTGGATGGTCAGCCATGGCATGGCGTGAGTGAGTGTGAGGGAGAACGCCAAGGACATCATTGTGTGCGGCTTTGACGTGTCAAGGACCTTCATCGTCGTGGGGAATGATGCGTGACTTTGACTACGTGGGCGGGTGCGTTCTCTTTAAGGAGGGGGTGCGTGGGGTGGGACCATCATTGCATGACGGCTTGACGTTTTGAAACAACGTTCAACTGGTGCGACCTGAATTGGATTGTGTGCGCGTGCATGGTTGTGTGGTGGCATGGCAGGGACTTCTATCAAAACATTGTGAAGATCGCTCGATGTGTCACTCTCAACCAGGCAAGGCGCCAATCTCTGACTGCCTGATTGTTGAGGATTTTAGTCAGAAGTTGGCCAAGGATTCTGTTTATTTGCTCTCATGTTACCACTTTGTTTCTCCAGTATTTTGCCAAATCAAAATCTTGTCACATCATATCATGTCACATCATATCACATCATATCACATCATATCACTGTTATTGTGTGCTACGTGTCATGGCATCAGGCACGGGGCATCTTTGGATTCGACGGTGAGGATTGCATCGGCAAAGTGGGCTTCCCTCCCGTTCAGGTGCCACCCTCTCCCCAACCCACCCTTACCCTCTTCCACTCTCCCCCACCCTCCTCCACCTCTCCTCCACCCTCACCCTCACCCCCACCCTCACCCCCACCCTCTTCCCCTCCCTCTCCCATGCCCTCCAATCCCCCGACCACCCTCGCTGCCGCTCTCGTCCTCTCCCTCCCTGCCTCTCCGCTGCCTCACCGGCACATTTCTACTTCACCCATTCTACCGACACCAACTGTCTCACCGGCACATTTCTCCCCTCCTCACTGTCTCTCTGCTCTCGCTGGCACCCCAACCTCCCAGGCTGCCCCAGCGTGCCCCTCGTCCTTCCCGCACCTGTTCAGCCGCAAGAACGAAGTGCGCTGCCTCATCCCCCACGCCATCGACCAGGTGTGTGCACTGTGAACCATGCCATGCCATGCCATGCCATGCCATGCCATGCCATGCCATGCCATGCCATGCCACCAATGCCATGCCATGCCACGCCACCAATGCCATGCCATGCCATGCAATGTTATGCCAAGCCTGGGCTTCCACATCCCCATGTTTCTGGGCTTCCACATCCCCATGTTTCTGGGCTTCTGATGCACTCATATCCCCCGTCCTCTATCTCCCCCTGCCCCCTCCCCCTGCTAGGACCCCTATTTCCGCATGACACGTGACTGTGCTCCGCGCCTGGGCTTCCACAAGCCCGCACTCATCGAGTCGCGCTTCTTCCCCGCCCTGCAGGTCAGAGGGGGCCCGTGGTGGGGGTGATGGGGGATGCTGGGGTGGGATAATGGGGGGTGGTGAGCGGTGGTGTGGGGTGGTGGGGAGTGGTGGGGGTGATGGGGATGGTGTGGCTGCAGGAAAGGTTGCCTGGGCTTCCACAAGCCAGCGCTCATTGAGTCGCGCTTCTTCCCCCCACAGGTGCGCACAGCGCGGTGGTGGGGGGTAACGGGGGGCGGTGGGTGGGAACAGGAGGTGGTGGGGGGCAATAGGGGTTGGTGTGGGGTAATGAGGGATGTGGGAGGGTAACGAGGGATGACGGGGGGCATTGTGCACTTGTTTTCTCTCCAGCGCACTGGTAACCACCTTGCCTTTACCACCCGTACTCTCATCTCTCCCCTCTCCCTGCACTCATCCCTCTCCTATGCACAGGGCGAGAGTGGCAAGATGAGCGCCAGTGACCCCAACCCCCCACCCATGACCCATGTATGCTCTCTCACTCTCTCCGCCACCTCAAGTCTCACCTTGCTTCCACTGCCCGTACTCCCCTCCTCCCCCTCTCCGCATCTCTCCACATCCCCCTCTGCTGCGTGCAGGGCGAGAGTGGCAAGATGAGCGCCAGTGACCCCAACTCGGCTGTCTTTGTCACGGACTCGCCCAAGGAGATAAAGAACAAGGTAAGGCTTGGCGATACCGCCGTCACGGATTGCTGTACCCATGAGTTGTTAATGCCTAACCATGTGCCCCAGGTTGTCCCACCACTATCCCCATGTGTATCCATCCTTCCCTCCTCCACGACCCCTCCTCCCTCGCGTCAACTGCCATCTGCCTTTCACCCCACAATCACCACAGTTTTCGCTCTCCCCCTCCCCCCTCTCCACCCCGCCCTCTCATGGCCTGTGCAGATCAACCGCTATGCCTTCTCAGGCGGTGGAGCAACCATTGAGGAGCACCGAGCCAAGGGGGCGAACCTGGAGGTGGGTGCGGTGGAATGTCGATGTTTCATGCTGAATGGCTTCAAGAGAGAGGCGAGTGGACGGTTTTATGCTTTCCGTGTATCCTTCCCTTCCTCTCCTGACTTGCCTGCATGCCTGAATCTTGCACAACCTGTCTTACTTTGCCGCATGCTGTTTCCACCCACAATCGCAGGTGGACGTGCCACTGAAGTACCTCTCCTTGGAAACCCATGCCGTCTCATGCCATCCCCACCCATCCCCACCTATCTCCACCTATCCCCACCCATGCCTGCAGGTGGACGTGCCAGTGAAGTACCTGTCCTTCTTCCTGGACGACGACATTGAGCTGGAGCACATCAAAACGGTGAGAGCACTTTAAAATGACGAGTGCTTTAAACTGTTTTGCTTGCGGTGAGCATTGCTGGGAGTGAGGGCACCATGCGGAATAATATCTCCCCCCCTCACCATTGCTCCCATCACCCCTCACTCCAGGAGTACGGGGCAGGGCGAATGCTGACAGGGGAGGTGAAGGGGCGGCTGGTGGAGGTGTTAACTGCCATGGTGGAGCGCCATCAGAAGGCACGCGCACTTGTCACTGATGAGGTGAGTGCCCCAAATTGACGAGGTTAGTTCCACCCACTGATCAGGACAGTCAGTCACACGGCTCGTGTCATTCCTCATGCCTAGCCTCATCAGTCTGCCTGCACACATGGAGGTATTAACTGGCATGGTGGACCACCACCAAAAGGCCCGTGCTCCTGTCACAGACGAGGCTAGTCATCGTCTGGCCCCCACTCATGTGGCCACCATACATCTGCTGCCCATCTCATCTGCCCCATCTCACGTTCCCCCCCCCTACTCCCATGCATCCCCAACTGGTGGATGCATTTACGGCAGTGCGGCCCATGACACACATGTTCAGCTAGGTACTGCCTTAACGATACCAGCTTGTCGGGAGTTATCTTATCCTCCATCTGTCCCCCATTCATCTGTCCCATCTCATCTGCCCCATCTCATCTGCCCCACCTCATCTGCCCCACCTCATCTGCCCCACCTCATCTGCCCCACCTCATCTGCCCTCATCATCTTATCCCCTCCCATGCACACAGATGGTGGATGCATTTATGGCAGTGCGGCCCATGCCACACATGTTCAGCTAGCCACTGCCATACTTGCAGTACAGTGTCAGTGCTTATTGGATTCTGGTCTAATGTACTTCTCTCAGTCTAGTGGAGTTTAACCAAACAATTTCCAGCATTTACCCTTGTTCCTACGGTAGATTCAACATTCCCACTTTCACCTTTTCAATTATTCAACATACCATCAAAATAAAAACACTCCAGAGCCGAAGGACAACCAAGAACACTTCGGCGAGCTCTACTCATCCAAAACCCTAGTCAACCCTACAGATTTTGGCTCTTGGAAAGGTCTAGCCGGATAACCTGCCCACTGATGGGCGTGGCATGCTTCACCACAAGCGCATCAGTGGCCGCCTCCACCGTTTCAAACAGCACCACCACCTGCTTCTTCCCGTCCTTGTCAATCACCTTCGACCCCAGCACACGCACTGTCATCTACCCCCCAGAACCATCCCCTACAGATTTTGGCTCTTGGAGAACGCGAGCCGGATAACCTGCCCACCGATGGGCGTGGCATGCTTTGCCACGAGCGCATCAGTGGCCGCCTCCACCGTTTCGAACAGCACGAGCACCTGCTTCTTCCCGTCCTTGTCGATCACCTTAGACCCCAGCACGGGCCCGTGCGGGGCCATGTGCTCTACCACCATGTCAGCGCTGGCGTCAGCTGGCAGGTTGCTGCAGTGCAGCATGCGCGTGGGCGCGCAGCAGTGGCGGTAGTTCTTGGGCGCGTTGCGGCCGAAGCGGTTCAGGTTGGACGTGGAGTAGTCTTTAGTGTCGGCTGACGGGTTGATGGACGGGTACTTGGAATAGTTCACCTCCAGCCGCTTCCCAAACACGGCAGCACCCTGGGAAAGGGAGGGAGGTAGGAGTAGGGACGAGGAGGGGAAGGGGAGGGAGTGCGGAGGAAGCCCATGGGAGGGCAGATTTGAGCGAAGTAGTGTGAGAGGAATGGATAATGTAGTGACAGAAACGCACCAACTTAGTGTCGGCGAGGGTGTATCTGCCCTTGGTTCACCTAAACACATGGCAGCACACAAAGCAAACGGCATACCTTAAGATAAGTGACGGCGAGCTCGGCCTGCAGCCCATCAGCGAGCTGCACGAGGGCATGGTCGGGCTTGTTGTGAAAACCCAACGCACACCCCAAGACGCCACACAGACAGCATACACTAGGACATCGTACTCCATGGCACCACAGGGTGGACAGCAACACACCTTGAGATAAGTGACGGCGAGCTCGGCCTGCAGCCCATCAGCGAGCTGCACGAGGGCATGGTCGGGCTTGTTGTGCAGGAACTTGATTCGCACCACGTTGCCGTAGTTGGACACCAGGTTGAACAGCTTGTCCGCATCCACCACCTGACATGTGTGATGGGGAGGGTGAAGCACGGAGTGTGGAGTGTGGTTAGAGAGCATGGAGTGCGGTAGGCAGTGCATCGTAGGGGCACCACGTTGCCGTAGTTGGGCACGCGGTTGAACAGCTTGTCCGCGTCCACCACTTGGCATGTAAACGGTTGGAGACGGTAGAGAGGGTGGAGCATGGGTAGAGAGCATGTAGTAACGACGGGCTCTGCGTGATAGGGGCACCACATAGCAGTAGTTGAGAACGCGGTTGAACAGCTTGTCCGCGTCCACCACCTGAGAAGGGGTTCAAGAAGAGTGCAGGTTTAAAGGGCCGGGTGGTGTGTGGAAAGTGCAAGGCGCGCCCATGGCAATGCTGGATAGCGCATGGAAAGGGGCAGCAACAGGAACTGTCTGCACGTTTGAAGAAGCAACTCTATAAATCAGGTCAAAAGTCCTCATGGGCCACGTCAGCATGCCACGTCTCCCGCGCCTGACGTCAGCGCACCTCATGGTGGATGTTGGAGATGAGCAGTGTGCAGCGGTCGTTGGTGCCCGTCACACCCGGCGGCAGGTTGCCCCCGAACATCTGCGCCGCCGCTGCTGCTGCCATGCCGGGGTTCTGCATGCAGAGGACATTCAGAGCAGCAACCCGCCAATGACATACACCAAGCACAGGGGTGATTTTTGAGGCGCCTCAAAAACCATGTTGGTGTTCTGCATGCAGCCAAACATACAGAGCAGCAACCCGCCAATGACATACACCATGCAAAGGAAGCTCCAACATGCAATGTACGCCGCAGCGGCAGCAGTGCCAACAGCAGCGGTGGCAGCAGCAGTAGCAGCAGGAAAGGCACAATTAAGCAGCAGGATGACCAATACACGCAGAAGGCAAAAGGGCTCACCCCATATGCGTTGAGGCCGCCCATGCCAGGCTGGGGCATGCCCGGCTGCCCCATCTGTCCCATCTGCCCCATCTGCCCCATTTGCCCCATCTGTCCCGGAAACACACCCGGCCGCTGCCCGGGCATGGCGCCATACACATTCCCGCCCTCGCCAAACAGTGACGTCTGCTGCTCACGCGGAAAAAATAAATTAGAAGAATGAGAGGCGCGTCAGTTACACAAACGGGCGAAGGGAGGAACTTGACGGGACAGGGAATGACCACTGGCTGTCTCCGCTTACCATCATGGGTGCCTTGCCCGGCTGATCCGGCAGCTGGTTGACATAGTCTCTGGTGCGCTCGTTGTTGTAATGCACCTGTAGCTCGCTCAAACTGCACACCGCACACACCATCACCACAGCCGCCACCACCATGAGCACCCGCACCACCACACCATTCACACGCGCGCGCACACACGCAGGGGCAGAACGACACACACACACACACACACACACACACACGCACGCACGCACGCACGCACGCACGCACGCACGCACACACACACACACACACACACACACACACACACACAGACACACAGACACACAGACACACACACACACACACACACACACACACACACATCATGAGAACCACTGTTGCCAACATTGTAACTAACATCGTTGGGACCACCAACGTTGTAACTTGTAACAACCACCGACATTGACACACGGAAGAAACCCAACAGAGGCACCTCGTCGAGCTTTGAACGGCTGTTACGTAGGACCAATCCTATTGAGTGCTGCAGGAGCAAGATAAGAGTTGGCTTTTGAAAACCACGTCCTTCTGGCAAAAGTAAGAGTTGGTTTTAGGAGAGGAGGGGGGGTGGAGGGGGGGGAGGGGAGGGGGGTGGGTTGCGGGGGGGGGGAGATACAAGAACATGTGTATATAACAGGGGGAAACGTACTTGGAGAACTGGATGTCGAGCGTGCAGCAGCCGTCGTAGATGTTGCGGCCCTGCAGGTTGGTCTTGGCGGCGGCCGCGCTCGCCTGGTTGTTGTACTGCACCAGCGCCTGCAGCCCTGCTCCGCGCAACACCGGGGGACGGGGGAAAGGGGAGGCAGCGCGGGAGACAGCACGAGGTGCAGCACGAGAGGGAGCAGCAGAGGCCGCGGTTGAGAACAAAGCGGTCGGCGGTCGAGTTTCCCGCGTGTGAGGGGACAGCCTGACCCCTCACTCCGGGGGATGACGACCGACGTCTAATACCCCCGGGGGTACTTTGGCCGCGGTTAGAGAAGACGAGAGGGAGCAGAAGGAAAGGAGCGGAAGGAAAGGAAGGAGCGGAAGGAACAGAAGGCAGGAAAGAGTGCAAGAGCGAGAAGGAGGGAGAGGGGGGTCGGACCAGCAGCTTTCTGGAAAGTGACGATCTTCTCAACAAAGCCATGGGGAGAAAAGACTTGGTGAAGCACATCCACGTTGATTGGATACAGCGGGTTGTGGATTGTGACTAGGATTATGCGGTTAGGGGCACCCTGGGGAGACGAGCGAGGAACGGGAAGGAGAATGGGGAGAGAGAGGGGAGAGAGAGGGAGGAGAGAGGAGGGGAGAGAGAGGGAGAGGGTAAGATCTGAAGAACGGATGAGAGGAAACGGCGGAGAAGGTATGGAAAGGTGGAGAAAGGTACGGAAAGGCGGAGAAAGGTACGGAAAGGCGGAGAAAGGTACGGTAAGGCGGAGAAAGGTACGGAAAGGAGGAGAAAGATGCACAAAGGCGGAAAAGGTAGGTACGGAAAGGAACGAGAGCAGTGAGGAGGAAGAGGAATAGGGACGGTCGATCCGTGACTCCTTGTCGTCGGACGGCTAGCATGCTCTCCGTAATACGGATAGTTCCCGCTATTGCCCGATCCAGCATTCCTCCGTTGACTAGAATTCACGTACCTCCTGGTGTGTCCTGCCCGGATTCTCGTTGGTCGTGAGGACCTGATGCGAGGAGAACTGGCAATACACGTTCCTCCCCCTGCACACGGTTACACGGTTACAACGTTAGCAGTTACATCGTTTCATGGCGACGCGAGGTTGTGTGAATTCTTTGGCAATTAACAGGCACGATGAACTGAATCAATAATGCCATGGATGAAATATAGGAACAACTATTATTTATTACTTGATGGAGGCCTGCACACCAGTGTAGAATTGGATCATGTTGATCGCAGCTGCAATGTCCTGCATCTCAATGAGGGCCTGCAAAAAATCACAATTTTGAATTAATTACAAGTGAAATGACGAATCAGCCGAGCAGGATGAAGGCACACGAGAGAAGACTTTGCAGATCGACAATCGAACCTGGTTCTTGGCTCTCATGACGACGACCCTCTGCACCGGTCCGAAGTTCTGCGCCAACTGCTGCACATCGAGCTGCAGAAGAGAATAATCGAGATTAAAAGATGAGTAAAACGAGCAAAATAAATTCTGTAATTTACTAAAATCATGCAGATCTGGAACGTGCTAAATGTTCGAAACCCTCACCTCCGTGGCCTCAGATGGCACATTGCGGACGTGAATGACCTTCGACGCGGATTCGGCCATGGCTAACCAATTCTAAAGAACGGAGGGAACCGAAAAACTAAGTTAACTACTCTGATACGAGCGTGACAAGCGGAGATGCAATGGCTAGAGAAGAACGGAAGCTAAGAGGGTTTGACAGATAGTGATAGCGAGATCTGCAGAACAAATGAGGAAAGAATGGAACTGACCGGTTGGCCTTGCTGGGATGAGTGAATCTTTCGCGACATAAACAATTTGTTACAAAATTTTGCGAGGCTTATTCCAGGGACCTGCCTGTACGGTTTCTCCAAGGCCTACAAACATAAACGTCACAAGTTGTACGGTTTGCGATGCGCTTCTAAGCGAGGACAGTCTCACCCAGACGAGCAAGTTGCCAGCTGCTTATCACAATTCACGGTTCTCCTTATCCAACCAACCACACCAGCCTTCCACACACCACCACCAATCCACTGACTCCACACTGCACTCCGCACCACACGCAACTCCGCTCCACCCTACTGTCCTTGATTCTCCTCCTCCTTTCAGATGGCCTTACCGCTGAACGCCGTATCTACTGATGTCTTCAGATGGCCATGCCTTCGGGTATTGGTTCCTGAATTTTAGAAGACCGTATTTCAGACCTCATACATGCTTCAGTGACCGTACTCCCAAGCTGTTGGAACCCTTACTGACCAGAAGATGCTATGGCCTGATCATCACTCCATTCACTAACCTTTTTATTGTGCTTAGAGTCTGAAAGCAGGGATGATCTCTCACCTGCTACGTTGTTCAGACAGTTGCTACTAGGTTGCTCTTAAACTGCCGAAGGATACGTCAGAATGACGAAACGTACGACCGTTACTGTATCGTTCCTTGTGCTGATCGTTTTTGCCACGTCATCATTGTCAGCCACAAGTGACGCCACGACTTACAGAAGACGACTCGCCGTGTTCACCGCCTCGCTGGTATGCCTTCATTCCTTATGCATTCGTGCCTTCAACTTCACATGCGTGCATGTGTTAGTGAGAACTCGTGCATGTGCTCGTGCGAACGCGTGCATGTTTCATTCTAGTAATTACACATGAATTTCGCCTGATATTTGGTGGCTTGTAACGGCTGATGCGGGATCGGTGTGCGCAGATGGACGAGAGTCCCGGCAGTCGCCTGCAGCGAGAGAGCGCCGCCGCGTGGACTTCCTCTACCGACGGCCCCAGCTTCCTGCGCCAGATTGTGCCCGCTGACTCGTCCAGCGACGCTGCTGACTCAGCCAACGGTGCTGCTGACACCTCGTCAGCGACTTCCGCATCCGTATCTCCATCGCCTGAAACCAAGCAGTCCTCTGCTACTGCTGACTCCAGTGACACGGCCACATCGCCTGGCAAGGGCACTAAAAGTGAGAACAAGCAGTCAGACCCAAAGCCGTTACAGCAGCAGCCGCCGCAGCAGCCGGAGGAGCAGCCGCAGCAGCAGCAGGCGGCGTCATTCGGGCAGGTGCTACCCACTCAGGGTGACCTGGCGTCGCTACCCGACTGCACGCGGCAGCTCGCGGCGTTCCCCAAGCTGAACCGCTCCGACGAGGCTGTGAGGCGCTTTGCCTGCATCGCCGACACCTACCTTCACCCCTGGATGGGCTCGAGTTTGGTGAAGAAGGGCGGTGTAGGAGGGGCGGCGGAGGAGGAGGGGCCACGTGGCATCATCTCACAGGCCATGCTGCAATACATGGCGTCTGAACCCGGGGTGAGCTTTGTAATCTGGCTCCTGTGAGAAGTGAGGCGGTTGATTGAGAGACGTCTTAAAACTCATGAATCTGTCTGTTCCAGTCTATGTGGCTCTCTCTTCTGTCCCTCGTCTACCTGCTCTATCCAATTTTACTCACGTCAACTCCTCATAATCAGGCGCCCAAGAACAATGTTTCTCCCTTCCCCTCCCCCGCAATGCTTTCACACACGCCAGTTCATGTCATGCGCAGGCGTCAGACCACATCCGCATCATCGACGGGCAGGTGTATTTCCGCCACGCCTTTCAGGACGTCTCAAAGGCACTTCTTCTTCCCAATTTCCTCCCTCCCCACCGCCCCCTTTGGTTCCCACCCACCAGTTCATGTCATGTTCGGGTCACATCCGCATCATTGACGGGCAGGTGTATTTCCGCTACGGGGGCTTCCACTACCAGTGGGACCGTCTGCACCGCTTCGTGCAGTCCGTGAAGCTCATCCAGGCCGCTATCCGCCACTACTCCCTGCTCGCCCTGCGTGCCGAGTTCTTCCTCTCCACCTGCGACCTCCCCAAGAGCTTTGATAGCTCGCTGAGTGGGATCTTTGGCGGGCGGCCCATCTTCAGCACGGAGTGGCTGCCGGGCACGCTGGATATCATCGTGCCTGACCCGCTGGATTTATCGGAGAGCTACCAGGCTGGCAAGGACGCCAAGGTGAGGGGTGGGAGGCAAGGAAGCGTTTTGGTTCACTGCGAGGTGATGTGCCAGAGCGCTGGCGCTGCTGCTCCCTGTCTGCCTCACTGCTCCCCATTCGCCTCGCTCTCCCTCCGTGCCACCCTTCTCTCCCCAGACCCCCTGGGAGCAGAAGGCGAGCAGGGCGGTGTTCAGGGGCGGCTTCACCAACTTCAAGCTGGGCCCCGACCACCGCTGGCGAGTCAGCCCACGCTATCGCCTCCACCGGTCAGATTCCCTCCACGCTCGCCCACGCCCTCCCACGCCCGCACATGCCCGCCCATACCCTCCCATGCCTTGCCCTACCCCTTTTCCCGCCCATACCTTCCACCTCTCGTCCGGCTTTGCTTGCTTTCTTGTGTTTCCTCTTGCCCTCAATCGTCGGACATTCAGCCACGCTGTGCTCTTCCCTCCCGCACTTGCTCTCTCCCTCGCTTCCCCCACTCTCACGGTTCCATCCCATGGGTGCCTTTTCCACATCGCATTGAATTCTTTTGTTCAACTTTGGATGAATGAGTGGGTGGTGTGGTGGGCGGGTGGGTGGGTGGTCACTGGGGTGGGTTGTGACTGGGGTGGGTGGCCATGGCGGTCGGTGTGGGTGCAGGGGCGGACTGCACGCGTGGCAGAATGACGGATGCGCGCCCAGACCTGCTGGATGCTCGAGTCATGCGCCTGCTCGTGGATGACAAGACCAGAAACATGTGAGTCAAGGCAGATGTGAGTCAAGGCAGATGTGAGTCAAGGCAGATGTGAGTCAAGGCAGATGTGAGTCAAGGCAGATGTGAGTCAAGGCAGATGTGAGTCAAGGCAGATGTGAGTCAAGGCAGATGTGAGTCAAGGCAGATGTGAGTCAAGGCAGATGTGAGTCAAGGCAGATGTGAGTCAAGGCAGATGTGAGTCAAGGCAGATGTGAGTCAAGGCAGATGTGAGTCAAGGCAGATGTGAGTCAAGGCAGATGTGAGTCAAGGCAGATGTGAGACCCACAGCATGTGAGGACCACAGCATGTGAGACCCGCAGCATGTGAGACCCGCAGCATGTGAGACTAGAAACAGCACGCGAGGTCACACATGCGAGGACAGAAGCATGTGTTTGAGAAGCGTGAGCAAGTGTGATAGCAATCGTGTACGACTGGAAACGCATGAGGCAATGCTTGTGTGCATGCATGCAGGGCGATGGGAGACGGGTTGAGTGAGGCGGCCAAGATGGAGAAGGCAGAGTCGCAGCGCTTCAAGTACGAGATCGTTGTGGACGGCGGCGCTGGCTCCTGCCGCACCTGCGGTGTGCTGGGGAGTGACCAGGTGAGCCGCTTGCCTTGCGTGTGCTGTGTGTGTGCTGTGTGTGTGCTGTGTGTGTGCTCGGCAGCGACCAAGTGAGCCTTTTGCCATATGTTCCGCCACCACTGCATCCACAGCAGCTATGGAATCGGCTCAATGCATCTCTCCCTTATTCCCCCCCTGCTGGTGCTGCTGGCGCTGTGTGCGCTGCTGTTGCTTCCGGTGTTACTGGTCCTCTTTAACCTGTCTCGCCGTCTCCCATCCCGCACCCCATTCACAGGCCATGATCCAGCAGGACACGCCCTTCGCACGGTTCTTCCAGCCGCTGCTGCACCCACAGCTACCACAATAGTCTAACTTTCTTCTTGGCTGATATTCTTAACTACTTCCCCACATCTCGCACCCCTCGTGCAGGCCATGATTCGGCAGGACACGCCCTTTGCACAGTTCTACCAGCCGCTGCTGCAGCCGTGGCGGCACTTCATCCCCACGGACCACTTTTTTGGGGACCTCTTTGACCGCGTCGAGTGGGCGAGACAGCACGACACCCAAGTGCGACGCATGATTGTCAACTCGCACCGCGTTGCCAAGTGAGTGTGGCCGCCTGCTTCCCACACTGTGCCACGATGCACTGCCTACAATGCACACTGTGCCGCGATGCACTGCCTACAATGCACACTGTGCTGCGATGCACTGCCTACAATGCACACTGTGCTGCGATGCACTGCCTACAATGCACACTGTGCCGCGATTCATTGCTTGCTATTCACACAGTGCGTGACATGCTCTTTTCTTTCTCAATCACCCATTCTTGATATTCACACAGTTGCACGCCATCTCCAAACAACGCTTCTACCTGTCTTGCTCTCACGCCATCTCCGCTCTTCCCCTTCCTCCCCCTCCACCAGGTGGGGGTGCTCCCTGGAGGGCCGAAAGCTCTACTGGGCGGTCCTCCTCGTCAAGTACGCCGCCCAGGCCCTCGAAGACCCCTCCGCAGTCACCCGCCCGGACGTCGTCTCCACATGCCCTGCGCCGCCCGCTAAGGACCGCATGCGGCCGGCGCAGGAGGAGAGTGAGATTGTGAGGCCGGAGGCGGGGTGGCCGCCGGTGTGTGCGGATAAGGACGTGGCGCGGGTGAAGCAGCCGCCCTGCACTTTCTTCTGTGTGAAAGGACCCATGCCACGCAACAGGCAGGTCTGGCTCAATGCGGACCTCTTTGACTCGGTTGACTTTGTGGGCCCGCATGTCGCTGACATGGATGAGTAGGTGCTGAGCATGGATGTACACAGGGATTCCATGAAACATATAATACACTAGTTTTAACAAAGTTTTAAGGCATAATGTGCCCATTCATTCCTATAGATGAAGTAACGTTTCAGACGTTTCTTGTTCCACATACAAATCACAGCGCCTAAACTTGATGGTGGTGCTAGAGAAGGCAAGTGCATTTCACAAGTTATCAGGAGCACAGCGGACTTCATTCCTTCCTACCCTTGCATGAGTTCCATAATTACGTCTTTTGTGCCGGGGCGACCAACTGTAATCGTATCAAAGGATTTTACGACATTCCCTTCTCGGAACACCAGCAGATTGAGCGTACCGCTGACGCAGTTGTGCGAGGCCACCCAGGGGTATTTATCGATGTCCACCTCGTAGAACGTTACTAATCCTGCCTGAATCTCCGCATTGAAGCTGCTCGCGATATCGGCAAAAACGGGACCAAATGTTTCGCATTTCCATGTATGGGTGCTGTCGTAAAGGGCGACCACGATAAGACCTGAACCAGAAAGAACGCGCGTCTGCCATTCATCCTCGCTCAGCGCACTCACGAGTTCAGAGCTAGCGAACGCCATCAAAATCAGTTTACGAAGCTGTGAAAGGGACGAGGACAAAGGCTATTGTGAATACTGACAGACTTAGGAGTGAATGGCTATGAAAAAAAAGGTCTTGCGTAGAGTAGTTACACGAGGGAGAGACGCTCTGACTGAGGGGAGGCCTTCGTTTGCTGGCAGTGGCCTTCATTTTCCGCCAATCGGGACATCGCGGTCCGCGTGGCCAACTGTACTGTACGATAGTACGTGTACGCCTGGCCCTATCTAAATTGACACGCTGCCCCATCAGGAACGTCACAAGTGAAACACCGATCCTGCACAAGATCGGTGTTTCGCGGCTACAGTGCATTCACGACGTCGTTAAGTGCTGGTTACTTTTTTTCGTCATTTGTCGCCAATGTACAGTTGTCCCCTCGGAGTCGGGCGATCGATCTCCCTTGTCACACATCGATCGTGCAATTTCGTCCACATCGGGCAATTTTGCCCCATGATTTTCTGATCGTGTCACTTGGGGCTTGCGGTGGGCACGCGATTGCAAAAAATCAGTCGTGGCACACCGATGTGGCGATCGATTTGGCAGGATTGTGAACTCCCGATCCTTCCTCGGTTTTTCACTTGTGATGCGTCCTCACGATTTGAGTGTGGGTGATCCACAGACGAGCCCGACCCAACCTTATCGCTTTGAAGGGGACTCAACCAGCCCATCTTGACTTGACAGCAATCCGCCAACAGAGGCGGGGTGGGTGGGCCACAGAATCACGGCTCTTCCGTTTTCAGCCTCTGTTCCATCTCTATGGTTGAGCTTCCTGATCGGCTCCTAAGCAACGTGGCCTCCAGCCCTTGCGTATGATGCATCGCTTGGGCTGCCTGATGGCCTCCAACTGGAGGCTTACCTTTTTATCCAGCGGGCCTGGTCTGCTCATGCCTGCAGTATGAGATTCTAACGGGCGGGATTCAATTGTGCAGTTTTTCTTTTCATGTTTAGCTTCCAAAATAGGCCTGGATGGGGCTTGTACAGCAGATATATTGCTATGAACAGCTGTGGCAGCACTACTGTGCCCAGGTCACATAAATACGATACTACTCTTGCGTTTTTTGTTGCAGCAGAGATACAAATCAGTTGCCGCACTGGACAGGTTGGCATTCGTGAGGAGCACGAAAGACGTCATTCGTAAACCGGCAAGATCTTCACCAGCTCATCATGCAGACCATCCGTGCATGATGTCCCAAGGTTTTTCACAAGCTCGCCTTGTCGGAACGCAAGCAGATTGAGGGTACCAGTGAGGTTGTTGTCCGAGAGCATGCGGGGGAACTTGTGGACGTCCAGTTCGTAGAACGTTATTGATCCTGGCTGGAAGCGGTACTGCATTTCCTGCTGAAAGGTATTCGCGACATCGCCAAAAACGGGACCAAATGTTCGGCACTTCCATGCATGGGTACTGTCGAAAAGGGCGACCACGATCAGACCCGAGCCCGAAAGTACGCGCGATTGCCATTCATCTTCAGTCAGCGGAATGACGAATTCCGACTTAGCGAACGCCATCAAAATTAATCAACAAAGATGTAAAGAGGTGAGTGCAAAAAGCCTACCGAGAAATCTGATGTGACTCTCGCCTGAATTACTCTAAGGGCGTATCCAGGCTCGGGTCATGAGCACTGTTCCGGGCATGCGCGATTTGCGGATGACCCAAACAACATAGAACGCATGTTTGGGTCATGCGACCCCCATATTGCCGCGAGGGTTTTCGCGCCAAAATCCAGCTCACAACAACAGTCGCATCCAATGGAGGGATGCCAGAACATTTTGAAAGGTCATTAGCGAGACCCACGCAAAACCACGTGACACTCACTGAGAAAACACAACCCCAAATTTCCCGGAGCAAATTCCCAAATGTTGGGAGCGCGACGCGAGAAATTTTAGACACACTCGGGGTCAATTTGCCGAGTGGTTGGGTGCAGAGGTGTCAGACGTGGGAAATTGCCCACGTGTGACACTCGACTGCCGAGCGACAAAAAGTTGGCAGTAACACCACAATCGTGCAACCAGGTGATTGGCTGCGGGTGGGTCGTGCACGTCAGTCGCACAACACCTACACATTGACCCAAAGCTGGGGCCGCGCGCGGCTCGGCAGCCCACTTCGGGTCATGCGCAAATTCCGCATGACCCGAACAGTAGCCAGAACAGTGCTCATGACCCGAACCTGGATACGCCCTAAAGAAGAGTCTTCCTCAGTGCTTGGCAAAGCTGGACTCAAGTACTTCATCTGTTTTGCAGTTGGTGAATAGTGCTAGGCTGGTATTGGATAGCGTGGTACAGAAGTTGACGAGGAGTGAAGCGAGGGGTGCGAAGACAAACAAGTCGCAGTTGTTTCCGAACCATCTAGGCACGGAAATTGGTTCGGGCCCGAAGCTAAAGTACCAGCATTTATTTTGCAATCGCTCCAGGGGCAAAATGGGGGAATGTGTCGCACAACCAACTTCCAAACCCATCACTCCACTTCGCCCACTCAAACAGGACCCCAGCGTCAACTGTTTTGCGATTGAAGCCAAATTCTCTTGAGATCCTGGCAGGAGGCATTCATCTTCATTTGGCTGGGCAATCTTGACCGCTACTCGATTCGGGTCACAGTACACCAATCCAGATTGACACGCTGCCACGCTGACCACTGCGTCCCCTCAGGTAGCGGCGTCTGCGTCTGCGTCAGGTCAGTTGTCCGCCCCCTGCTCGTGTCGCACCCTGTCGCACCAGACTGTCCTCTGGCACCACCGCCTTGGTCACCCCTCAGTGCACCGCCTTCGTGGTATGCACTCCCGGTACCTTGTCTCTGGTCTTCCCAGGGTTCTCCCTCCCCTCCCACCCTCGCCTGCTCCTCCCTGTCTTCCCTGTGTCGAGGGGCGGCAGCGCGCCACTCCTCACTCCTCCTCGTTCCCTCCCACAGAGGCTCCCCTGCAGACTCTCCACCTGGACGTGTGGGGCCCAGCCCGCGTCCGTGGACAGGGCCACGAGCGGTACTTCCTGCTGGTCGTCGACGACTACACGCGCTACACCACGGTCTTCCCCTTGCGCACCAAGGGTGAGGTCGCTGATGTTTTGATCCCTTGGATCCGCGCTGCTCGTCTCCAGCTTCGCGAGCGGTTCCAGTCGGACTTTCCCGTCCTGCGTCTGCACTCTGACAGGGGTGGTGAGTTTTCCTCCGACCTCTTGGCAGCCTACTGTGCGGAGCACGGCATCCGCCAGACGTTCACGCTTCCGGCCTCTCCACAGCAGAATGGGGTTGCTGAGCGCCGCATTGGCTTAGTCATGGAGGTCGCTTGTACCTCCATGATCCATGCGGCAGCCCCCCATTTCCTGTGGCCGTTTGCAGTGCAGTACGCTGCGCATCAGCTCAACCTCTGGCCCCGTGTCTCTGCTCCGGAGACCTCGCCCACACTGCGTTGGACGGGGAAGGTTGGCGATGCGTCAGTGTTCCGGGTCTGGGGATATCGAGCCTTTGTCCGCGATATGTCCGCGGACAAGCTCTCCTCCCGTGCCGTTCCCTGTGTCTTCCTTGGCTTTGTCCCTGACGCGCCTGACTGGCAGTTTTACCACCCCACCTCGCGCCGTGTCTTCCCCTCTCAGGACGTCACTTTTGACGAGTCGGTACCCTTTTACCGTCTGTTCCCCTACCGCACTGCCCCGCTCCCCCCTCCGCCTCTCTTCCTCACGCCAGGTGCTGCTTCGGTAGACCCCCTTCCTCCCCAGGGTCCTGCTCCCTCAGGTGTTTCCCAGGTAGACCCGGTCGAGCCTGTCGAGGTAACTGTCGACTCTGGTCCTGCGCGAGGTACTGCGTCTGGGGGTGCTGAGACTGGGGGTGCTGAGCCTGGGGGTGCTGAGACTGGGGGTGCTGAGCCTGGGGGTGCTGAGACTGGCGGTGCTGAGCCTGGGGGAGCTGAGACTGACCGTGCTGCGCCTGGTGGCGCTCCCTCTTCACAGCAGCTGCGTGAGTGGTACTCTCAGCGTTGCAGCCTCCAGCGTGGGGCTGCTGGAGCTGGGGGTTCTGCCGGAGTTGGAGCTGGTGGTGCTGCGGGTGCTGTGTCGCGGCCGGAGCCTCCCTCCCCACAGCGGCTGCGTGAGTGGTACGCTCGACGCTGCAGCCTCTGGAGCGGCGCTCCTAGCACTGGGTTGCCGCCCGCTAGAGGCCCTGGTGCTGCTGGAGGTACTGGAGCCTCTGGTCCTGGAGGTGCTCGTACAGGCGGTACTGGAGCTGCTGGGACTGGGGGTTCTGCTAGAGCTGGAGCTGGAGCTGCTGGAGCTGGTGCTATGGGAGGTGCTGCCGGTACTGGAGCTGCCGGTACTGGAGCTGCCGGAGGAACTGCTGGTGCTGGAGCTGCTGGAGGTGCTGTTGGTGCTGGAGTTGGAGCTGGAGGTGCTGGAGCTGCTGGAGCTGCAGGTGG